GATCACTTGCCAGGAGAAAGCCGTAAATAAAGGAAAAGAAAACAGCTGGTGTGGAAGCAATTAAAAATGGCCTTTCAGTACTGTTTTCATGATGAACTGGGTCAACAAGACACTCAGAGCATCAAGAAGACAGAAAATTGTAATGTGTTAAGCATAGTAGAGTGTATGTGACTGAAGAATAAGCAGCCTTCACATCAAGTCTCTGCTAAAAATATGGGAATTTTCAGAGAGCTTTTTAAAGGATTACTATTTTGTTCAGAATAATTTCTTATTCTGCTCTTGGTAGTTTTACTTCCATCCAAACTGGAGGCAGCATAGGATCTGATAAAATTCTCATTAACTTATAGTATGAAGTCCCTGGTGACGCAATGGGTTAAACCCTTGTGCGGGCAGGACTGAAGACCGACAGATCAGAGATTCGAATCCTGAGAGAGAGCAGATAAGCTCCCTCTGCCAGCTCCAGCTCCCCATACAGGGAAATGAGAGAAGCCTCCCATAAGGCTTCAAAAATCAAAACATCCGGGCATCCTCTAGGCAATGTCCTTTCAGACGGCCAATTCTCTCACACCAGAAGCAACCTGCAGTTTCTCAAGTTGCTCCTGACATGAAAAAAAGCTTATAGTGTGACTTGTTAGATGTTTCAATTCATTGTATTTCATGTTTTTATTGTCAAAATTTGGTTGTGTCCTCACTCTTATTCCACCTTTTATTGAGAAGGTCATTTTAACAGAGGTGACTTGTGTACTTGGGGCCCATAAGAATAAATATCAACTTGTTATTGTATTTAAGAAAGAGTATTTCGCACCTGCAATTCCATGGGGGGGGGGGGAGCCCACCGGCCACAACAATAAATATTTTTGAGCTTTGGAGCTTTTGCTTGATATTCAAATATTTGTACATTTTATCACCCTGAGCACCGGTACTGATTGTATTAATGCAGAGTGGGTTTTTGAAAAAGGTTTTCTTTGAATTGTCTGTAGAATTGCATCACTTGTTGATTCTGTAGCAAAATGCCCAGGGGAGTAAAGTCTCTTTTTCCTACTAAGGCAAAAGTACGAAACGTGGCATAGCTTTAAAATAAGCACTCTTACTAAGATGACTTCTCCAATTAATTTCTGTATGCAAGAATTCAGGAATATGCTTCATTTCCTCTAGCATATATTTCACTTGGGAACATTCCCTCCCCACTAAATTAAAACATTTGCATTTTTTTTTAGTTTAGAAAAAAAAATATTAGGCTGGATCAAGGCTGTAGGTTCTTCCATTCATAGAATAGACTCAGACAGAGGAAGTGTGTGAATGGACGAGTCATTCATCTGTACAAAGCAACCTTTGTGCCATCTCATCATACCTTTACAGAGGCTTCTGACTTTTGGGAGGTATAGAAAAGAGGAAAGGGGAATTGATACAAATCATTTTCCCTTCTTAGGAGAACAATTCTTCTCAAAAGGCAATCTAGATCCAATTAATGAGTGCAAATGTGGAACCAAATAAAGCCATATAAATCTATGAATGGTTTAGAAACAGTGGATGGAAGGCATATAACACAGTTAAATTGGTTGGCAGAAGGTTTTGGACAGTCCATGGGAAGAACTAATAGACATTATTCACAAATAATTTAAGAAGTGTATTACAAGTTGAGTAAACCTTATCTGGAATTCTTAAATCCAGATTACTACAAAATTCAAAATAGTGCACATGGATAACTGAGTGTTTTGACACTTTTGTTTTCTGATAGTTTTCTGTACACAAACGTTGTTTATGCACAAAACTACAGTATTTTTAAAAATTGGCTATAAAATGATCTACAGGTTATTTGTATAAGGAGTGTTACACAGGTATTACATTCCAGGACCACCCGTGTTAAGTGAAAAATCTATGAAATAGGGACGCTCGTCCACACCACCACCCCTCCCTTCTTTCATTCACTCACTGCTGGCCGATGAGGAAGAGCTGGCAATGGCAGCAGGAGGAGAAGGAGGACCCACGCATGCCTTAGCACCAAGCATGGAAGACCAGGCCTCAGCACAGTCTGGCAGTGGTGTCAATGGCATCCAAGGGGCCTCCAAGGAAGGGGAGGGGGAGCCAGGCGCTGGGCCTTAACCTGGGGCTTGTCTCCGGGCTGGGCCTCAGCGTGGCAGTCTCAGGTGGCAGCCTCCACCTCGCCGCCTCCGCTGCTCCCCACTCCTTCCTCGGAGGCCCCTTGGGCACCATTGACACCACTGCAAGGCTGGGCTGAAGCCTGGTCTTCTGTACTCGGTGCTGATGCCTCAGCCTGGCAGTGGCGTCAATGGCACCCAAGGGGCCTCCGAGGAAGGAGTGAGGAACAGGGGAGGCCCAGCCTGGAGACAAGACCCAGGGTAAGGCACAGCGCCTGGTTCCCCCTTTCCTTCTTCTCTTCCTCCTTCTCTCCCCCCCCCCCCCCCCCCCCCGCGGCTCCCCGGGGAGAGGAAAAATCCACGAAACAGCAAGTCCACAATAAGCGAACTGCGAAGTAGTGGGGGAACACTGTATATGAAACACAAATAAATTTGTGTTTGTATCCCATCTCCAAGATATCTCATCATATATTTGGAAGTTTTCCAAAATCTGGAGAAAAAAAACTGAAATATGGGATGCTTCTGGTCCCAAGAATTTCCAATAAGGGATACTCAACATGGAAACAAGTCTGGTAGTTTTAATGGGTTTAAAGGGGGGTAAATAAATTAAAAGAATTTATGGCTATATTTGCTTGAAACAAATGTTAGAATTAATCCAGTTTGACACTACTTTAACTGTCATGCTGTGGAATCATGGGAGTTGCAGTTTAACAGTCTCACCATTTTTTACTGCTAAACAGTGCTTCTGCCTCACTAAACTACAACTCCCATGATTCCATAGCAATGAGCTTTGGCAGTTAAAACACATTCATTCTACAATGTAAATGCACCCAAGATTATGAATAACTAAGGGCCCTTCTGCACTGTGACTATATAATGCAGTTCAAAGCCAGCTCGAGGTCACGGTGGCCATAAAACACACCTCACCCCACCCCCAATGTACCACACATCAAGCCAGAAATATTGTGTTAAAAAATACTCACCAGAAAGTCTGAAAGAAGCCGGAAAATGCACTGCAGCTGCCCATAGTATAACCCATGCATACCCACCTCAACACCAGAACCAGAAAATTCAAAGTGCTTGTAGGGACACTGCTGGTGCTGAAGCACTTTAAAAAACACAGAAATATAGCTGGCCAGAAGGTAAATGCCCTCAGAAAAGCAGGTTGCTAAGTACTCCCTCCAGGGAGGAAGCCACATAATTTCCATGAAATGCTTACTTTCTGCATCAACAGATCTCTGCACACTGTGGCTTTAAAATGTATTTTCTGGTGGATAATGTGGTTCCTGGGTTCTGTTCTGTTCTGATCTGCATTCAGTGGATATTATGAGCACCATCTCAGCCTCGAACTGATATCTGTGGTGGTTGTGTAGGCACCTCATACCGAAACCAGTTCTGACTAATCTGGTTAAAAACCGGATTATAGTGTCAGTGTAGAAATGCCTTACATTTTATAATAGCATAAGTAGCCCATTTCTCCATCCTGGAAGTGTCCTAGGATGGAGCCCTAAGAACACGGGAGGCTTCCCATGTTCTCAGTAGTTAAGCTGGGGAAAGTGTGGGTGGGGAAGCTGGGCAGCAACAGTTTCACTCATGGGACAGGGAAGGGGCGTTGCGGGGGAAACGGTCACCTGAAAACTCCCCTTCCCCATCCCATGGGTGAAACCTTTGTTGCCTAGCTTCCCCATCCACATCTTCCCCAGCTTACCTTATGAGAACACGGGAATCCTCCTGTGTTCTCAGGGCTTCGTCCTAGGACACTTTCAGGACGGAGAAATAGGTGAGGTGACAGGTTCCCCCGCTGCCCACTGGAATTACCCCGCTGTCCCAAGGATGTCCCCACTTTCTCTGGCAATGTGAACAGATCCTTTATTTCATTTTCATGCCCCAGGAAGCTAAGCCAAGCCTTGTGGCGTCTACTGAGGTTTCTCTTTTGTTTTTAAGGGCTATATAGCCCACTTTCACTATGCCTCAGCTTTAATATAAAAACTGTGTTTTCTCTGGCCTCTAAGAAGTTGATTCTTTCACTTAAGTATGAAGACATTTTGAAGAGCTGGGTTTCATATTTTCAGTAATGGTGAGATTGAATATTTTTTGTTTCTTTGTCCCTGTAATCCTTGGGGGGGGGGCTGTTGCGCCAACTGAAACCATCACAATACCTACTAGATATTAATCTAATTGCCCGTAGCCTCCTTCCACGTTCCATCTTAAGGCAGGAACAAAATGCTCCCTAACAGACTTCAGCATTAGCTTTCCTTTTTTTTTTCCTTCCCACCCTCCTTTTGTTGATGTTGTTTGCCAAAAATTCAAGAAAACCATGTACAGTGTTTTGTGAGCTCTGAGTTTGCTGAAAGGGTATTACCCAAATACGGACTAGGTATATTGCCAAAGGGCTCTCATTTATAGCCCTGAGAAGTAAGACCAGTTTGGCAACAAACAAGCCAAATGGATTCCAAAAAGAAAATCTTACGTATGTGGAACATTCACATTCCTTTCCTTCTTCCCTTGTTGAAAGGTGCTGTCTGTTTTCTCTTGCTACAGTGCAAAGAAAATGAGAAAATATTTGCTTGTGAGATTCTGGTTGGCACCAAATAGAAGAAGTTTTAGGTTCTGACCGTTCTTTTAAGGAGTTTTTGCATCCTGCGAATTCTCTCTTTTTGCATAATTACATGGATGAGGTATTGGCTAGTGGCAGATACGCTTTCAAAGGTCAAAGAAAGATTTGCTGTTTTACAACATGTGATCTTTTACAAAGTTTTTATCTTTGCCAAAATCTTGTTAGATCTGGAATCCTATTCCTTCTTATAACAGAAATTTCTTTCAAACACAAGACTTACTTTCAGATTTTTTAAAACTATGTATACACCTTGTAATTTGTAATATTTGTTCTTCTCCCCCTAGATGGATCCAGTGCAAAAAGCAGTTATAAACCATACATTTGGCGTGTCACTCCCACCTAAGAAGAAACAAGTCATTTCTTGTAACGTTTGTCAACTTCGCTTTAATTCTGATGTGAGTATCTTCATTCTCTGCTTTATGTCTATAGTTTTGCTCACCTGTGTACAACATGTGTTTGTTTCTAAGAATATATGCAAGTTTTTAAGATTTGTCAACTGCTTGGTTCAGGGCCTTCTAAAATGTACTGGATGTCGGTTTTTTTCAGACTACAGCTGACCCTCCACATTCTCCTTGGTTAGGGGCACAGCACCCCTATGAAAGTGGGAAAAACATTTTTAAACTTGAGAGAACACCTCTCTAAAAGGAGGCCCTTGTGGTGGTATGGGTTAATATCCTTGTGCCGGCAGGACTGCTGACCAAAAGGTTGGCAGTTCGAATCTGAGGAGTGAGGTGAGATCCCATCTGTCAGCTCCAGTTTCTCATGTGGGGACATGAAAGAATCCTCACACAGGATGGTAAAACATCCAGGCGTCCCCTGGGCAACGTCCTTGCAGATGGCCAATTCTTTCACACTAGAAGCAACTTGCAGTTTCTCAAGTTGCTCCTAATGCAAAAAAAAAAAAAACACCCCTCTCTAGAATCCCTGGATAGAAGTTGACCGTAGAATAATGCTGGAGTACCTACAAATGCTTAGAGAAATGGTCTCTTGGGTAGAAAAATATGTTCATGTTTTTCCCCATGGAAGTCTTCTGCCCCTAATCCCTGCAAATGTGGTGGGCTGACTGTACAAACCTCCCCTACTATTTTAATAGGCTACAAGCATAATGTTCCCATAAACTTAATTATGAAAAGCAGAGAATCATTGCAAAGGAATTAGACCATAACAATAGATAGACTGCTCCAAGCACAATGTGATCCTACCCACTCAGAAATATTCCCCATTGAGTTCCACTGAGCTTAATGGTAGACAGGTAAAATATTGTTTTACTTTATTTTTCTATAATTGAACAACATTTATTTTGACATAGTTTTAAAAAGAAAATTTTTGAATTAAGTTTTAAAAAGAAAATTAAAACAGCATATCCTGTCCTGTTGGGTTCAGTAACCAGATCACCAGGTAGTGAGAACAGGCTGAATGTGTATTGATTGGTTTTGCAGCATTTTGTCCATATCTTCATACATAAAAAAGGGATGAAATATTACAGATTCTACTTTGAAGGAAACTAAATATCCAGGTAGAAGGCTTGGATGGCTGAGGGGATTGTACCACCACTATATGGTAACTGTACATACCACCTTACAGCCTGTTGTGAACATCTGGAAAAGAAAAGAGGCAATAAGCGGGAGAACCTGCAGCAAAATGTTATGGTTTGGAGTACTTTGTTCCTTGTGCTTTCTGCTTCCTCTTCATCTTAGTCAGTCTCTGAGCATATTCAGTCTTTGTTGGGATGTTATAAGGTCACGCGTACCCTGGACTTTCTCCTTCTGAAGATTTGTTTGTATTAGTACAAACAATAGTGCCTCCCAGGCACCGTGATTATCTCCTTCTTGTATTTAGATGTTGCTGTTTGAGCTACATGATATATCCCCTGGAGAGCACTGTTTGTATTGGAGAATGTTTATTATTAATAGAGACAGGTCCTTGTGTTTGCTGACCAGCTGAGACGTTTTTGGTCTCTTGATGAGCCATTTCAAAAAATTATAGACATTAACATAATAGGGGCCACAACTGGAAAACCCTTTCTGAATATGCAAAGTCGATCTTTTAACACATAAAACAGTAATAAAGAGAACAGCCTATAAATTTAGTCAGAATGCATTACCTTTATCACAGAATGATCCTAGTGCACACTATGTATCTAAGGTTCAGGATAAGATTTGCTCATCAGAAAACATGGCATAAATTAAACTTAAATCGGTGCAGCATTGTTTTGGAATTAACCTCTGGCTTCATTTTGTTTTAAAAAATCACTTCCATGCTCGCTTCTGAGACACTTAATACATTACACAAGATCAACTCAACCAGTCCAAAAGAATTTAGGACAGAAATTACTTGTTTTCACCAATATTTTTAATTTTTTATTATGTTTAAATGACCTTTTTAAAAGCTTGGGTGATTATCTTATTACAATACATGTGGTGCACTCCTATACTTTATTTATTTAGAAGTATATCCTGCTGTGTTGGATAGATACTATTTATAGGATAGTATGTGTAGCAGCTTTCTTCTATATCACACTGTCCAGAAGTTTGGGTCTGCAAATGACATCATCCTGACATATATAACCAATAGCCATGATTTAATAGATGTAGACAGCACCATGGTGGGGAAAGTCTAGTATATATAGGATTGCAACCTCAAAATACTATAAAAGTAAAAGTAAATTTATTTATTTATTTATTTATTAGCCATATTTATACCCTTCTCAACCCCGAAGGGGACTCAAGGCGGCTTTACACATAGGCAACTATTCAATGCCTTAAAAATATACAATTAAATTAAGATTGAAATTAATAAACATTAAAACAGTTAAAACATTGCAACTTTTATTAAAAACACTCTTTGACATTAAGTCTAGTTGTGTCCAACTCAGGGGAGTGATGCTCATCTCAATTTCTAAGCCAAAGAGCTGGCGTTGTCCGTAGACGCCTCCAAGGTCATGTGGCCGGCATGACTGCATGGAGTGCTGTTACCTTCTCACCAAGACAGTACCTATCGATCTACTCACACTTGCATGTTTTCGAACTGCTAGGTTGGCTCATCTGGCTCCCCAGATTTGAACCGCCGACTTTCGGTCAGCAAGTTCAGCAGCTCAGCAGTTTAACCCACTGCACCATTGAGGACTCCTCCAAAATACTATATCTAACAACAAAATAAAAGTAAGGTAAAGGTAAAGGTTGTCCCCTGACATTAGGTCCAGTTGTGTCCGACTCTGGGGTGTGGTGTTCATCTCTATTTCTAAGCCAAAGAGCCAGCGTTGTCCGTAGACACCTCCAAGGTCAAGTGGCCGGCATGACTGCATGGAGTATAGATAAAAGTATATTATTAAAAAACCTGAGCCTCTTTCCTTCATCTGCATACTTTGCTTTGATCATTTCTTCCATGAAACAGTTTGAATCAACCAAAGCAAAATGCCCACCATTTTAAAAACTATATAAATGATTCTGTGTTATAACTTTCCATCTGATTAATATTATCCTTTGGTAGTTAACCTCAAGGCAACTCATTACTGTGTGTAACAAATTTAAAATATTATTATGCATATTACCGAAGACTGCCGTTAATGCAGTGGCACCATCATTAACACAGGCGTGAAGTTTGTCATAAAGAGAAAGTGTGTGCATTTATGAAATCAAAATTAAGGCTGATCAGAATACCCAATTCAGGGGAAACTTTCAGAATTCTCATGGTTTGGAGGCAGAGCAATGTCTGTACCCAAGATCTGGAAAGAAAAGCAGACATTTACAGAGGGCGGAAGGACCTCAAGATACAGGAAATTGGTAGACTTTCTTTAAAAAAAAACTTTAGAAATCAATGGTTTCCAGTTGCTTCTAGTTTTAGGAATGGTTCTGTGAATGATCTGATGCCATCATGATGTGGCAGATGCTCCTAGCAGTAGTCTAGTGCAGTGGTTCTCAACCTGTGGGTCCCCAGGTGTTTTGGACTACAACTCCCAGAAATCCCAGCCAGTTTACCAGCTGTTAGGATTTCTGGGAGGTGAAGGCCAAAACACCTGGGGAACCACAGGGTGAGAACCGCTATGGAAGACATCTTATTCTGAACCATATTTCTGGAAATGATGCAATCAATCAAATGTTCTTTCTGTAACATTTAAATTGATTGATCTGTGGCAGAAATAAATAGATTGCAGTGTTAACATGTGTTAATATTTACAAAGGAGTAGAGGGAATGGAAGGACCACACACCTGCCTTTCAGAACTGCGCCCATCCCTTGTGCCAGAAGTATTGCAACCTTCATTGGAATTCCTCAAAGGCTGTAGAAATTCTCCCTGCAGAAAACAAGCAACCCAATAAATAGGAAGCTATGTATACAAGGTCTCGTAAGCCTTTGTGAAAGAGCTCATGAGTTTGTTTCCCTTCTTTCCTCTGTGCTCTGAATAGCATTTTAATTCATACCAACCCTGTCAGACAACTTGCTCTAAGCGTTGGCAGGTCTAAGGTCATTTTTTTCTTCCCAGGATCTGCGCTTCCTACTCTGCCAACTTCCAATAAAATTTGATGGCAGCTGTGGGGGAGCATGGCATTGCAGCAGTTTGTTATTGAAATCTGGCAGGAAACCACTGCTACCCAGTTAAAATAAGCATTTGTTTGCTTAAAATGTGGTGGTGCTTGTTGCAAGAGAAAATCAGTAGTTGTGTTTTATGTCTCTGTTTTTCTCCCCAAGATCAAGATACAAGATAGCTTATATCATGTGAAAACAGTCATTAAAACTTTCAAAGTACAGTACATTGTGGGAGATGACGTCCAAAACACCTACAGGGCCGAAGTTTGGTCATGCCTGACTTAGACCCAATTAAAACCAGCCCACCATATCCATGCTGACATTTTGGAGTAATAGTTACAAATTCAGCATCCATTGATTCAATCACCCTGAAAATCCCTACCCCCTCAAAAAAAATCCCAAAAGCAAACCTAGAAAGTAGTTCACATTTGACCAGCCCACACACTGTGTTGCCAGAGAAAGAAAATACGGCATGCAAATGATCAATAAAGAATAAGTAGTTTACTCTTTGTAATAGGGAAAAATATACATATAGAATGTGGTTAGTTGCATCAACTCACATAATATCCTTTTATGAGAGTTTTACAATGGTATTTCTCTGTCCATGTGGATAAACTCCTTCAGCAGCTCATGAAGCAAGAGTACACAGTTCGGGCCCTGCCTATCTCCGCGATCGCATCTTCTTCTATGAACCGCCGTGAACTCTAAGATCTTCCGGGGAGGCACTCCTTTTCTCCCACCACTGTCACAAGTCTGGTTGGTGGATACAAGAGAGAGGGCCTTCTCAGTGGTGGCCCCCCGCTTCTGGAATGCCCTTCCAAGGGAAATAAGACAGGCCCCATCCCTCCCCTCCTTTCGTAAGAGCTTGAA